TTCATTTTCTAATATTAGCATTTTGTATTACATTTATAAAATAATCAAACATTTTATTTTATTATCACTACTTCCTTGTCTACTGTGAATACATTATAACTTAAAAAATAAATCTTTAAATTCAAATTAATTGTTTTTAATTTAAATTTTATATATTTAAAGATTTTCGATCAACTAAGTAAATTATCAATTAATACTAAATTTTCAACTTTTAGAAATAATAATAGTGAAGAATGAAAAAAAAAGAGTGATTATTAAATAAAGCTAAATTAAATTAATGAAATTTTAATTAAACAAAAAATCTATGAAATAATGAAAAAGGATTAAATACATTTTATGTATTAATAATTTTAAATTTAAATAATTTTATGTATTAATAATTTTAATTTTAACCAAAATATTTAAAGTTTGATAATTTTTTTTTTAAAAATTTTAACAAGCGCATTTTATTTATCACTTATCAGTGATTTTTGTTTTTGAACCGAAATGATTAAATTGCAAAGAAAAAAAACTAAAAAGCCGAAAATATCGGATTCAGGTAAAATTCCGGATTAGGAATAATGCATGATGCATTTTACTATTGAAATTCATTTATTTAAAAGAAATACGAAGAAAGAAAAAAGAAATTTTTAAATTAAAAAATTTGAATGAAAAAAAGAAAAGGCAAAAATGAAAATTGATCATATTACATGCATTTGCAATGAAAATTTTCAATAGTTTTAAGCATTTGTTGATACTTTTAAAAATTTTTGAAAATGATAAATGTGTTAGCATTTTATAAATATGCAAATATTTGCATAAAGAATTTATGGCCAGCATATCAATAGTAAAAATTTTATTGTTTATATAAAATTTATCAAATGTAAAATGTTGAGCAAATAAATTGTGCAAATAATGTTATGTTACAAGTTAAAAGCTATTAGTTGAAATTAAAATTTATAATTACTTCATGGCGCGTAACAAATTTAATTTTGTATCCTTTAGTAATATCGATCAACCTCGACTAATCAATCAATCAATCAATCAATCAATTGATCAATCGCTGAAGTATTGTTACCAGTAGTACAGTAAGGCTTAATTTTACTGCTTATATTTCATTCGGTATCAGATTAATTTAATTAGTCAATTGGCTAATCAATCAATCAACCAATCAATCAGTTAATCAGTTGATTGATTAATCACTGTTACTAAAAAAATAGGAAAAAATGAAACTATTCAAAATAAATTATAAAAAAAAATTTTTCTTTTCGAAAATTAAAATTAAAAAAAAAAAAAAGGATTCCATATTTTGAAGTTTTTATCACATTACTGAAGTGCGATAGTTCAATTTTAAAATTTCTGAAAATTCATATGCGTTTTTTTTCCTTCTATCACTTTTAACAGAGAATTTCAAGTATTTCATCCAGAAATAGTCATGCATCATGTCATTTCAATCTTTTAATTAAATATTTAAGTTTTGATTTTTATTCTCTATGTGAAAAAAATAATTAATTTGAAACCTCATAATAAATTTGATTGATGAATTGTTTCTGTTCCAAAATTTCAATTTATTTTTAATAAATTTTTAAAATTTTCAAATTTTAATAATATAATATTGATTAAAAAATAATTGTGTCACTTTAGCACTGCAAAATATTTCAGAACTTCTTAAGCAATTCAATAAAATAGTGCAAATTTTATAAAAACTGAATGCGATAACCGGAAAAACGGTTATTTTTGGAACAGCAACCATTCAATCAATAGCATTTATCCTGAAAAACAAAAATACGGAAAAAGCATTCATTGTAATCAAATATCATTTATTGACATTTATCGAATTACTAATTAACTAACTACTACTACTACTACTATTCAATACTATCATTGATATACATGCAAGAGAATAAATTCAAAATCTTTTATAATCATTTTAAAATCAAATTTAACAATCATATAACCGGTTTTCAATGTAAAAAAAAAAGTAATTTGCAAAAAATAAAAAATGAAAAAAAAACACTAAAAAGAAAGAATCAATTATTAATCAATAAGATATCAAGCAGTAGAGTGTTTACATTTGAGCTAATTAATCAATTAATAAAAAAAAAAATTTTTTTTTCACTTTTTTTTATATCTCAAATATTTTGCATTTATATATACAAATGATAAAATTTAAATTATAATTAGCAAAAAATGAAGCAATTATGAATTACTAAGTATTACAATGATTGTTGTAAAATAAGATTAATTAGCCCAAACTAAAAAGAATTAATTAATATCAATGAAAAAAAAAAAAAATTGAATATCACCAATACAATTCATATAAAACTTTGTAAAACAGTGTCAATATTTTTTCTTTTTACATAAAAATTAATAATTTCTAAGTAAATTTTACTTTCAGAATTTCACACGATTAATTTCAATTTCAAATATAATTAAAAAATGTAACATTTTTGTAGGTAAAAATTTTTTAAATTTAGTTAACTAAATTTAGATTTAAAAATAAATTTAAGATTTATTTCATGTAATAATATATATTTTCTGTTTTCTTTTAATGCTATATTTAATTATTGGAATAAATTACTATTAGTAAAGAACAAATGAAAAATACAAAAAAAAAGCTATAGTATTCTTATTAAAATAACTGAGCATTAAAAGGCATAAATTTGAAATTTGTATATGCAAAAGAAGGATAAATAAATTATATCAATAATAAGTAATAATACAAGAATAAACAAATAAACAAATAAGACGGAATGTTTTGCAATTGTTTACTAAATAATGCAAAATAAAATTATGAATTAAAATAAATAATTTTTAAAAATCAAATACATTTATTAATTTAAAATTGAAAAAAAAGACATTTAGAATTATTATTTATTTTTTTTTTTTTTAGTAAATATTGAAGAAACATTCCATCTTTTATCGAGTATACAATATATATATGTATATATATATATAATACCTCTTTGTATTAATTCGTACGTTTGGTGATCGAATGATAATATTATCATTTGATAAAAGTTGCAAAAAATTTATTCAACTAGTAAAAAAGAGAAAAAAAAAATCAAAAAAAGTAAAAAATAATCTGCTTTTCTCTTTTTTTTTTGACAATTTAAAAAAGGCACTATGGTACGTACTATCAAATGAAAAATTGAAATATCAAATTTAACCGGATGAATTTATCACAGTCAGAAAATAAATTGTAATGCAAAAAAAAAATAAAAAAGAATTTTTTAGCAATCAGAAAAAAAAAAGGAATATTGATATCAACCGGATTAAAAGAAACGACACCAACCGGGATAAATTTTATCACGAGGTGTGTAAATTTGTTGAGAACGTAAATAGATGAAAGCTGCAGATAAAATGAATGAATGAAAAAAATACATATAAACAATTCAATTCATGTAAACAATGTATGTATAACCAATTTTTTTTTTTTCATTAATTAAAATTTGAAATTTTAAAAAATAAAAAAATTAAAAAAAAAAAAGAAAGAAAGAAGAAAATCCGAAATTTTACAAATTAATTTTGAATGATTAATTTTTCGCTAACTTTTCGTTTCTTTTTTTTATTTTACTTTTTTTAGATAAAGAAAAAAAAAAAGTAAAATTGAATTTTAGAAAAGAAAAAAGGAATTGAGTAAATTCTCCCAAAAAATATCTTTTTTTTTTCTTCTTTCTTTTTCAAATACTGTTTAAAAAAAAATGGAAATAGTACAATACTTTAACCGGAAATGTTATCCTATTTCTTGTTCCGTCTATTAATATTAAATTTTCAAACTTTTTTTTTCTATTTTGCTTATATTACTTAAAATTCATTCCTACTTTTTTTTCCTTCCTTCCTTCCTTCTTTTTTTTTTTTGTGTGTGTGTGTGTATGTGAAATAATTAATTTTTTAATGAATAATTGAATTTTCTTTTTTTTTTTTTTTTAAAAAAAAAGAAAGACAGTGGGAAGGAGAAAGAGAAAAAAAAATAGAAAGGATGAGAAAGAGAAAAAAAAAAGACGTATCACATTTTCCTGATAAAAAACAAAAACAAGGCAAGAAATTGACTTAGATCAAAAAAAGAAAATAAATAAATAAATAAATAAAATGAAAGCAAATTTGAATCAGACGATTGAAAATTATATAAATAAATTTAGAGTATTAAAATAGAAAAAAGTATGGGAATTATTAAATTAAACTAATAATAGTATTCTTTAATATTAATTTTTATGTTAATAAAAAAAAAAAGGAGATTAGTTAAATTGTAAAAGAAAAGAAAAATGACTATATTTTTGGAAAACTTTAATTAATAATAAATAATGCTTTAAACTGAATTGCTAAAAGAAAAGGATGAAAAAAAAAGTATCATATGATAGAAAAAAAAAATAATTAGATAGTAATCATGCAAAGCAAATTCTTTTCTGTTTAAATATTAATTCTAAAATGTTCTTTTAAAAATTCAATTTTAAAAATTTTCTAAAAAAATTTAAAATAAACCAAAAAAAGGAAGAGAAGGGCATAAGAATAAAAGAAGAAAAAGAAAACAGAAATGGATTTTGCAATTTTTTTTTAAGTTTAATTATCTATTATTGATACTTATCACATGTATGTATGATTCAATTTCTAATTAGTTATTTCATTTTTACAGTATTTATCATCATTTCAACTTTTAATCAAAAGGTACTTACAAAGTATATATGATTTAATTTTAAATTACTAATACTTACATACAGTATTTACAATTTAAACTTGCAATCATTGATATGCAATATTTATGATCCTATAAATAATTTATTGAAGTATGAAATATATTCCTGAAATTATATCCTACAGGAAAATATTAATGCTAAATTATTTCACGTGTTGGTGTTACTATTGATGATGATGTTGTTGTTGTTGTTGTTGTATTAGTTATAGCAATATTATCAGTGATGTTATTGTTAGCTGTTAAACAAATGATATCATTTGGGACAATTTTTTTTGGTGTAAAATTTTTACGACGTTTTTTTGTTAGTATAGTATCATTATTAGTAGCAATGGTACCTATTGTAGCTGTTGCTGCTATTGTTGATACTATTAACGGTGTTGTTTTTATTGTTGTTGCTGTTGTTGTTGTTGTTGTTGTTGTTGTTGCATTCATTTTAACAGTATCATTGCAACAATACATATTAGTATTTGCAACAATTACATCCGATATTAAAGATGTTGTAGATGATGATAATATGCAAGAGGAATTTTTGACTATATTAGATGAAGTACTACAACAACATATTGTATTAGTATTATCAGTTCGATTTATCAAATCATTGCTAATATTACCATTTTTATTTATCAATTTTGGCGCAATTGTTGAAGTGGAATTGGTCACTTGAAGAGTAATATTATTACGTCGTACAAAACGTGCTACCCAACCCTGAAAAAAAAAAGAAAGAAAGAGATGAAAAAAGAAACAAGCAATAAAAAAAAGATCTATTTAAGTATAATTTAATTTAATATGTCTAAAATAGAATAAAATTTTTTAATTACAAATATCATTCATTTTCCATTCTTTTATTTCAAAATTTGTTGTTATAATTTGAATTTAATTCTAAAAAAAATGCTCATATTTTTTCCATTCAAAAAGAAAATTGTATATTTCTCAAAAAAAAAAAAATTGATTTTTCCTAAAAAAATGAATGAATTATAAGGTTTATTTTTATTTCTATTTTTTAAAAATTTTTTTTGTGACGAAATAATTTTAATGAATGTGAAGATAACTATTTGTAAAATATATAACATACTTTATTTACTTAAATTACTTGTAAGATAAATATTATATAATCTGTCTTCTTTCTTTCCTTCTTTTTTCGAACGAAATTGCAAGACATGGAGATTTAAAAGCCATTAAAATTGTTAATCATTAATTTTGTAATATTTGCATGAAATAAATACAAGTCTTTTTTGAGATGATCCCAAAAATTATATCATCTTTGCAATAAAATCAAATTTTAATCTTTGAATGCAACATTAAATGTTATACTGTAATTCCATAACGTACTATACTGATAGTACGCAAAGCAACATACCGTATTAACGGCATAGAAAATAATGGTATACTGTAATTTTTAAAACTTTTCAATTATTAGCATAAATGATTTCGGTAGAAGTTCTATTATATAATTAATTAATTTGCAAGATATATAATGTCAACATTTTCAATTTAATATTTTTTAAGCCTTAAAAAAAAAAAAAAAACAAAATGAAATAATTGCATACCGGATTGATTATTACAAATATATTTTACAGATAACGAAACACAAATGACAAATGAATACTGAAGAATATACCATATTAGCGGTAAAACCGCGATCATTATATTCCGGATTTCGATCGCAAATATCTTTCCATAAAGCATTTGCTTTTTCTTTAATGTCATGCCATGTTAGAGCTATTCCATTGTCACTCCTTGCTGTCACATAATGAAGCTGCAAATTTATTAAATATACCATTATAATATCATATTATCTTTATTATATTCTCTTTTTCTCTTCAAAAAAAAAAAAAGTACCTTCCATGGAAAAGATCAAATAAAATTTACATATTTTACTGGAAAAATGGAATTAAATTTGAGAAAAACGAATGAGAAAAAATTGCAGTTTTTTTTAAAAAAAAAAAGAGAAAACAATTTCAGAAATAAATTTGAAGAAAAAAAAGAGATTTAAAAAGAAAGTATTGAAAAAATTTCCGTCCTTTTTTTTTTTTTTCTTTACAAAGAATGATTTAATTAATTATATTGGCAAAACAAGACTAGAGTATTGATTATATTTCATTTACTTATTTAAATATGATAATTAATTAGAATGATGCAAAATTTAATTATTATCCATCCCTAAAACATTTTCATATATTTATATTTACATATTTAACAAAAATATTTAGCAATGGAATGTAATACGATTATCATCATTCTCTCTCTCTCTCTCTCTCCAAATTTTCTATTTATAATTTGGCTTATTATTCATACATGACAAAAACATTTTTTTTTTCATTATTTTCCCAAAACTATTTTACATGTTTTATAAATTTGTAGCAAAAAAAAAAAAAAAAAAAAAGAAAAAGTGCGGCAAATTTTAACAATAAATATATAATTGAAAATTTTGATCAAAATTATATTTTAATAACTTTTTGTTAATTACATATTAATTATTTTATTGATTACTTTTTAATCAATTGCATGTTGATTATTTCATATTTCATAGATAATTTAACGCATAATAATAATTCATCGAAGATTTTTTTTCTCTTTATGTTATTTTATAAATAATTTCAAATAATTTATCTTTTTTAAAAGAAAATATATTTTTTTTTCTTAGCTTTCATTGTTTTTTTTCTCTACATTTGATAGTTTTGCTAAGTGATTCAAATCATTAGCAGCATTAATTAATTATCATATATACATGGGACACCATGGATTCCCGCAAATTGGTGACACCGCACATACCCGTCAATAAAACTGGAGTAAAAGGATCAGAACTTTGGGTTCTTCCTGCTTTTCCATTACCCATAATTGCTAGGTTACCCGTAATAGCTTGAAACACTATTGAAGTACTCAACGACAAATGGAGAAATAAGCATAGTGGAATTTAAAACTTCATTATCTCCTTAATCAAAAAGGATTTAAATTATCATATATTTTCAAAATTTAAAATAATCCATATATCACTATTTCCTACAACGCCGTATGCAATTTTTAAAAGCAACCATGTAATTTAATATTTCATTTATATTTCACTGATTTCATTTATCAATGTCAAATTACTAAATTAATTAATTTAGTTATATATGATTTAAGAATTTGGAAGGAAAAAAAAAGGATAAAACGATTAAATGGAAATACATTGAAAAATCACTTTCAATCATACAAAAACAATTCCAGTCTTTTGTTGAAATTAATTAGATCTATAACTTAATAGACCAAACTTATTCCATTAAAAAAATAATTTAAATGGAAAAATAAAATTTAAAAATTAAACTTTTAAATCCTAAAAATAAGATGAGAGAAAAACAAAAACGTTTTGAAAAATGCTTTCTGATTAATTTAATGTTTCATATCTTTTAGAATTTCACTCTTTAGTTTAAATACAAATACATCGTTTAATTTGAAAAACGCTTTGAAAAATGAAATTAATCATTTTTTTTTTTTTCATCCAATACAAATATAATAAGGCGCACATTGCTAAAGTTATATGCAAACAAAAACAATTATATTCTCTTCTAAGACATATAAATGGTAAAATGGATAAAAGGAGAGAAAGTTATAAAGGAAAATTTTATTTTCTATTAATTGTTATTTGCAAAAAAAAAAAAAAAAAAAAAAAGGAAAAAAGGGAAAAGAATAAAAAGGAGAAGAAATAAAAGCTAGCGATAACAATAGTTCCTGTTTTAAATGAATGAGTAGTTATAAAAGCATCTAAAATTAGATTCTAAAAGAAAAAAGACTCGAATAATAAGCAAATTTTTAGTTTTTTTATTTCAAAATAGATTAACAAATTTGTTTGTTATAAGATAGATTAATTAACCAACTAATTAGTTGCCCAAGAAGGTTTATAATTGTCGGTTAAATTTATTGATATGAATTATGTAATACAGTTTATGATAATTAAATTGAATTTATGATAGCATTTTGCCGAACAAACTAAAAGTAATGTCGTAGAGGAATAGAATATAATAAGACTAGGATTAGGATAAGTTAATATACTTGCTAAACTTAATTATATAATTCATGAAATAGTTTCTGGTCGAGAATTTTTGTTTCATCTTAAATGAAAATTTAATCAAAAAATTAGACAATTTTTTTTTTAATCATCATATTGTATTAATAATTGTATCACTGTCTGTTAATACTATTATTATTATTATTATTATTATTATTATTATTAGTATTATCATAATTCATTGTATTAAACTTAATCATAACAATAATTATAATGATTAATTTTCAGTGCTTCAAAAAAGCCAGACATATTTTACTGATAAGCTAACAGTAAATAAAGCAAACAACTATCACACTACGAATGGTAATTCAATCTGTCTTAGCTGATTAATTGATTAATTAACTGAAAATTAAGTTTGCGACACTGATAACTTTATGATAATACTGATAATGTTAACTTTTATCATGATATTACTATACAAATATAATTAATAGTATTTATATTATTATTGAAAATTTCAATTTGTCAATTAGCTATTACTACTGATAAATTGAGAATACAATTATAACTTATGTACTATATGTATAACTTCGTATCTTTCTTTTTTTTTAATAACTAACCAAACTCTTTTCAAGATCTTCGGAAACTGGTCTTCGTCCACCGCCATCTAATCGTGATCTTTCTGGTGTAGTTTCAAACATTGACCTATTAAAATAAACTTATTTTTCAAATAAAAAAATTTTTTTGCTCAATTTTTCAAATATAAAACCTTCAAAATTATCAGCTAAGGCAAAAAAAAGAGGAAAATTTAATAATACCTAAGCCTTTGTTCATTCTTCCTCCATTCACGTATTGAACTTTCTGCAACATTAAATTCTCGTCCGGCTGCTCGATTTCCAATTATCTGCAAAATAATAATCATTCCATAAATTCAAGCATAAATGTAAATTATACTATTAAAAGTTAAGCGGATGAATCATCTGCAAGATTAATCCCAAACATTTTAATAAGTTTTAGGTTAATTACGATGAAACCTTTGACAAAAACGAGGAAAAAAAAACAAGAAAAATTCGTTATGATATTTTAAATGAATAAAATATTTAAAAAAACTATTTTATAGGATAAAAATTCTTCAATTAAACTTATTTTCTTTTTTTTTTTTATGACTGCCATTTTTAACCAAATTATTACTATTACTATTACTGTTATTATTGTTGTTATCTATTTCTCTTTCATTTAATTGTTAAATTATTAAGATTTCCTTCCTCAAAAAAAGATATAAAGGAATGGAAAAAATAGAAAAAAAAATGATAAAAATGGATGACTTTAGCATAATCGATAATGTCAAGTTTCTCTTCCAAAACATATTGCTTCAATTTTCGACCTTTTTGCGCTATCATTGATTCTGTACCACATTTATTACCATCATTTCCAATTATTATATCACTATTGCTGTTTCGACCACTTTTCATTGATGTAGGCTAAATTTGTTAAAGAAGTTTTTTTCTTTTTCAAAATTATTTTTATTATTAAATTTTCTTTCTTTTTCTTTAAAGTATGAAATAAACTTGTAACAAAATCATTGTTAACTATCAATGTCACTAATTATTAATATCAATTAATTATGACAACATTATGCTGAAAATGCATCCTTATTACATTACATATAAGTGGATGATGTTTAGATTAAAATTTCTGGAAGGTCACTACCTAAAAATAGCATAATAGTAGTTCTAATCTCATTGCTTGCAAATAAAATAAAATTATAAAAATTATAGTTACAAATACCTTATAAAACTCACAATTATCATTCTTATGAATATTTATGGAATCCAAATATTTTATTATATATATGAGAAATTGATAGATATATTACAAAAAGATTTACCTAATTTAGCTCCTTTTTATAATTTTTTTCAAATTTAAGTTTATTTAAACTTTAATTTAATCCAATGAATAATTATTAAATTCTAGCACATGAATTATGAACATAATAAAGTTTGCAGTTTGTTTTCATTCATATATTTAAACATTTCAGTTTTCCAAAACCAAAAATGAAACTTTTTCGTTGTTTTTCTGCTTTTTTTTTGTTCTATTTTTTTTCTTCATTGATATTTCGATATTTTCATCTTTACTAACTTACTTTTCTCTTTCTTGATGTCGTTGCATCCAAATTCCCAGTTGCAATATCGTCAACCATATCACATACCGATTAGATCATACATACACTGATATTTATCACGGTGTATTATGTTGTTGCTGTTGTTGTTGTTGTTGTTGTTGTTGCTTCTGTTTTGTTGTTATTGTTGTTACTGTTGGTGTCTTGTTGTTGTTACTGTTGTTGCTGCTGTTGCTGTCGCTACTAACCTTCCTTAGCAAACAACAAAATGATTAAACAACAATAACAGTAATAATTAATAATAATAATGATATTAATAACAAAAATAATAACCAATAATAATAATTGGTAATAATAATATTTTACGTCAACATTTAAACGAATAGATAATATTTGCATCAGACTAAAATAAAACTTGTTTCTAGCTTTTTCTTGTCAACAGAATTCATATAGAAAAATTTTTCTGTTCCATTGATTTCATTTAATAAATACTAATTAAGAAAGTAAAAGAAAGATATTCAGAAAAAATAAATAAATGAAAAAAATTAATTAGTTAATAAATAGTATGTATTATTGTTCTTATTATCAATTATTATTATTAATTAGCATTATTATCCGACTAAAATGTAAATAAATATTATCAAAATAATTCACTCGTTTTAATAAATTTTTATCTAATTTCTTTATTTATTTTTTCCACCTTTTTCACTTCCTCTCATCCATTCAGTATCTCCATTTCTTCATTTACATTTTTTCCTTCCTCTTTTTTTTTGTTTTTCTTCATTATTAATGAATCATTGATAACTTATAATTCATTTTTTTTCGGATATAATAAAATCGATTAATTGTTATATTCCATAAACACATATATAGCATATAGATATACACATATATATATATACGCTTATCTTTACGAGAATTTTTGTTATCCAAATTGAAACAAAAAATAAAATAACAATATTTGACTGTCACACTGATAATATTGATAACAATGATAAGTAGTAGTAATAGTAATATATTAACGAATCACTGATAACATATAATTAATTTCTTTTCGGATATAATAAATCGATTAATTGCTATAATTTCATAAATGAAAAAAAAAAAAACATATATAGCACAAAGATATACATATATATGCTTACCTTTACGAGAATTTTTGTTATCCAAATGAGACAAATAGTAAGAATAATTGAACTGTCGCACTGATAATATTGATAAGTGGTAGTAGTAGTGATAGTGATAATAGTAGTTATGATAAGTGATAGCTGGAGTACTTAGATCAGTTGGATAGGGTATAGTTTAGCAAAAGGGAAAGCTTTTTGATGATAGGCTATTGCTCCAGCTGCTACCACGCACTGCTTGCTGTTAGCAATGGTCCTGGATGACGGTGATAGTGGCTGATGGTAATGGCAGTAGTGCTGCTGCTACTACTACTACTGCTACTGCTACTGCTGATGCTACTGCTACTGCTGGTGCTAATGCTGCTACAATGATTTTCTATTGCTAATTGATAGTAATGGTAATAATAATTATAATAATAGTGATAATGAGAATGATAACGATGATAATGATAGCAATGATAATGGTAGAAGTGAAGAAAAAGTAAGCAAGAATGAATGGAATGAAATAACGCGCGGCTTATTTTAAAACAGCCGCGCAATCAAATGCTATTTTGCTAGTTAGTGCCTATTTATTGATGATGTTTACGATGATAATAATAATAATGATGATGATGATGATGATGATGATCGGTGGTGATATTTGCCATCATTGCTTCACATACACGCATTCATTTTTGAAAAGCGCAGCCCGACACCATCATTAGTCTCGAGATCAATCATCATCATCATCATCATCATCATCATCATCATCATCGGACTCTTTTTCCACAGCATCAAGACTTTGCTTGCTTTCATACATACATAGAATAGAGATAGATGGACACATACATATAACTCTCTTCTTGTCTTTCAAAGAGGAAAATTTCAGGATTATATATGTATAAACTCTTTTCTTCTTTCTATCTTTCTCTTCCTACCTCTCTCTCTCTCTCTCCCTCTCTTTGTCTTTTATAAAGAGAAAATTTCTGGATGGTATGTGAAAAAGAAAAGAGTGGAAAATGGATTTTCGATTGTACCATTAAGCAGAATGTTAGTTGAGAATGGTATGCATGTATCATATTCATACACATATGTGTGTATGTGTGCATGTGTGTGTGTGTGTGTGTGTGTATGTCTGTATGCGTGCGCGTGCGTGTATGTTTACTTTTGCAATTGCGCAATTTTTATACATGATAACTAACAATATAAATGTGATGGACGTATATGAGTATATGCTTATCTGTTGTATGTGTATTATGTAACTAAAAACTGTACAAATCTTTTTAGTATTCTCAAAATGTTTTGCACATCGATACAGACATACACGCCACATACACGTATACGTATACACAAGCACACAAAATTACACGTTTCTTTAATTAATTCATGTATGCAATTACTATACAATCTTATGGGGTTATGATACAATCAAATGATTATCAATCTCGATTACTAATCATATACCACGTTTGTATTTGTATGTCATGTGTGTATGTGTGTGTGTGTGTGTGTGTGTGTGTGTGTGTGTGTGTGTGTGTGTGTGTGTGTGTGTGTGTGTATTACAGGTGATAATAATACCAGGTATGATGAGGATGTTTGACAAACATTTCTTCCTCGAAGCATACTTTAATAATGCAGTGGCAATGTGTTTCGTTATTTTTGTAAGGACAAGGTTAAAGGTTAAAGTTAATACATTGAATGGTAATTACTTGTGCTAATAATAAGTTGCATAGCATTTATCAGCCATATTGCTTACACTTTAACTCGTCTTCTATCACACTTAATACTTGTAATTCCTTATATTTTTATGTCATGTAATTATTATTATTATTATGTAATCAGTAATAATAACAATAATAGTAATAATAATGATAATAATAATATAACAAAAATAATGATATAATATAATAACAATAATAATAATAATGATAATGATAATAATAATAACGATGATAATAATAATGATAATAATGGTAGTAATAATAATAATAAGTAGCGATCATTATAACGATAATGATAATAGTAACAATAATAATAATTTGTATATTAAAAATTTCTCTACATTGCGTATTCAGTAGATGTGAATGTTTTTCCGTTTCTTTCTATTTCAAGTATGCAATGAAACGGTAAACAGAGACACGTGGCTGAACGTTTGAATGATACGTGGCTGGACGTATGAATGATACGTAATCGAATGTTGAAATGCGTTTCGGTAATTTTTGATGGAACGTTAATGGAAATTGCAATATTCTCACAATTGATATATTACGTTTCAACATTTATATTGGCATTAATAGCATAGATCGTTCCGTTGACGTCAAATTTATATAAGTATATCCAAATAATAGTATTTAAATGATCGATACTTCTCGAATGGTACTTAAATAATCGATACTTCTCGAATGGTACTTAAATGATCGATACTTCCCGAATGATACTTAAATGATCGATACTTCCCGAATGATATTTAAATGATCGATACTTCCCGAATGGTACTTAATTGATCGATACTTGCAGAAGAACATTTACGTAATCAAACGTCAAATACCGTGCATTTTACATTTTATTCAATCTGTCGCATACTATTTTAGAACAATTATCTAATCATAAATCATTCCCGCATCTTATAGAAGAATTGAATAAAGAAAGGATAAAATATTCAAGCTGAATTTTATGTTTTTTTTTTTAAAAAAATTTCCTCCTTATCATTATGCAAATTTGACTTACGTTTAAAAAATTCACGTAAACAAGGAATAATAAATCAATGTATAAAATGCTGAAATAAGCGTTTTTGGATTTTTCTTTTTTAAATTTATATAACTTTTTCTTGGTGAAAGATAGCGAATGCTGTTGGTATAAACAAGAAAAAAAACAGAAAAGTAATTTATTGACAGAATAGTAACGATATAAATACTAATGAATCAAATTTAATTAATTAGTTAATTAATTACAAATGAAAATGACAGAGTTCGAATATTTTGTTAGTTTTATAAAAGTTTGTAATTATAATTATAAGAATACGTGAAATGATCATTACCAAAAAGAAGAAAAAAAAAATTCAAACGAAATGATTTCAAAATTTTCAAAAATTTCGAAATTAAATAAAATCGTAAATAAATAAAAGAAATGCATGTATTAAAAATGTTCTCGAGAGTGTGCAAAATTAATTTTTAAAACA